TTTCCTTAGGCATTTGCAGGAGCATTCGGCTCTCCGACTCTGGCTGGCAGAAGCTCTCTCTCTCGGGTGCCCTGCCTCTCTGTCCAGACCTGCTCTGGACTCTGCAGAGCACTCACCATAGACCAGATGGTTCTCCTCTCAGCCGGATGTCAGCCTTTATGGCAAGTCCCTGAAATTTCTGAATTTCTTGCACTTCTCTTTCCTCAGCCATCAAATGAGGGGGGAAATGAGAAACAGCCTCAATATCTAGTAACAAATGCATAATTAGATAATTCACAACACCATCATATTAGCCTTTTAAAAAAGAATCTTTATCTGAAATGTATTTAACATCAGAAAATGTTCAAAATGAAATGTTAAGTGGGGGCACCTGGGTGGCTCAGTCCGTTAAGTATTTGCTTTCGGCTTGGATCCTGATCGTGGGGTCCTGGGCTCGAGTCCCATGTCGGGCTCCCTGCTCAGTGGGAACCTGCTTCTCCCTCTGCCTCTACCCTTGCTCGTGGTCACTCTCTCTCTCTCTCCCGAAAGAGAGAGAGAAAGAAAGGGAGAAAGAAAGAACACATTTAAAATATTAAATGGGAGATAATGCAGAATTATGTACGTATTCTTATGTGGATAATATACTCTCTCTATATATCTATATAGATATATATAGTCAAAACATGAAAATAAAACTTTGTGGAACTTGAAGTATTTGAAATAAATAACAGAGTAGACCTGGTTGATCACTAATTTCCCTTTCAACTTAAAAATCAACCAATCACAGACGCCCTAACCAGGTTGGAACACAGCCTCTTTGACCCACTTTTAGGATTTTATCCTCAAGAGAAAACAAACCAACTAAATAAGTGCTCTGGTACACACAAAAGGATAAGCATTGCACAGATGTTTCTAGAGCATAATAGTGAGAATGCCTTACATGTTCCCAAAGGGGGGTTTGCATTTATAAACAAGGGACAATCCACACAATAGAATCCAGTTCAGCTCTTAAAATGTTTCTGTATTGGGGCACTTGGGTGGCTCAATCAGTTAAGAGTCTCTTAGTTTCAGCTCAGGTCATGATCTCAGGGTTGTGGGATCGAGCCCCCTGTTGGACTCTGCCCTCAGCACTCAGATCAGAGTCTGTTAGAGATTCTCTCTTTCTCCCTCTGCTCCTTTCCTTGCTCATGCTCTCTCTGTCTTTAAAATAAATAAATATAATCTTTAAAAAATGTTGCCATATTTATTTATAGACATGATTGAAAAAAGTGAACAGAGGCAAATTACTCAATAGTATGTATGTTATATTGAAATCATACTTTCATATATGCATATTCTTATTTATATACCAAAAAAAAAAAAAAAAGAAGTCTGGAAAAGGGTGCCTGGATGGCTTAGTTGGTTTGGCATCTGACTCTTGATTTTGGTTTGGGTGGTGATCTCTGGGTTGTGAGGTTGAGGCCTGCATTGGGCTCTGCACTGGGCATTTGAGATTGTCAATTTCAATTTGAGATTGTCTCCCTTGCTCTTGGAAGGAAGGAAGGAAGGAAGGAAGGAAGGAAGGAAGGAAGGAAGGAAGGAAGAAAGAAAGAAAGAAAGAAAGAAAGAAAGAAAGAAAGAAGAAAAGAGGAAAGAAGTCTGGAAGCAAATGCAGCAAGATGTTCATTGCCTTGGGTGGTAGGATTACTAATGGGCTTAATGTTATGTTTGCTTATTTATGAGTTTTATATAATGAACATGTAATAAAGTAATAGTTTCCTACTTGGATGTGCCAGGCTGCGTGTGAAGCACATCATATGTTTTTTTTAAAAGGATTTTATTTATTTATTCATGAGAGACATAGAGAGAGAGAGGCAGAGACATAGGCAGAGAGAGAAGCAGGCTCCATGAAGGGATCCTGATGTGGGACTCGATCCTGGGACTCCAGGATCACACCATGGGCCGAAGGCAGATGCTCAACCGCTGAGCCACCCAGGCATCCCTGTATGAGTTTCATTCAATCCTCACAATGATCATTTCAGGGATGTTCGGAAACCCATTTTAGAAAGGGAGAAACTGAGGCTTAGTGAAGATAAGTCATATGCTATATGAGTTTCCTGTGGCTGCTGTAATAAATGATCACAAGCTCAGTGGCTTATGATAACACAGATGTATTTTTTATTTTATTATTTTTTTAAAGATTTTATTTATTCATGTGAGAAAGGGAGAGCGTGTGCATGCACATGAGCTGGGGAAGGGGCAGAGGGAGAGGGAGAAGCAGACTCCCCACTAAGCAAGGAGCTGATTAAGGGCTTGATCTCAGGACTCCAGGATCACAACCTGAGCAGATGCTTAACCCATTGAGCCACCCAGGTTCCCTGACAACACAGATTTGTTATTTTACAGCTCTGGAAAGTAGAAGTCTGAAGTCTCACTGAGCTGAAATCAACGTGTCAGTACAGCTACATTCATTCTGGAGGCTCTAGGGAGAATCTGTTTACTTGTCTTCTCTAGCATCTAGAGGCCACCTGCACTCCTTGACTCATGGCCCCTTCCTCCCTCTTCAAAGCTACAATGGCTGGTAGTCTTTCTCACACGGAATCACTCTGGTTTTGACAATCTTGCCTTCCTCCTCCCACTGAGGACTTTTAAATTACCTTGGGCACCCAGATAATCCAGAATAATCTCTCAACTTTAAGGGCCTCTGATTAGCAACCTTAATTCCATCTGCAACCATAATTTCTCTTTTTTTGCAATATTCACAGACTCTGGAGTTAGGATATGGACATCTTAGGGAGGTCATTCTTCTGCCTCTCACATGGAAGATTTCATAGGTAATGGGTGAGAGATTTAGAATATGAACGTGTTCTGTTTCCCATACCCATGCCCTTAAATTATGCTATGTAACTGATTATCTGCGTATTGAGAAAAAATTTAAACTTTTTATAGATTAAAAAAATAAAAGGATATTCCTTTTCCTTTCTCTTTAGCCTTATTCAGCCTTATTGCTATGCCACCCATCTGCCCCTACCTAAGTGCCCTATTCTAACAAAACCTGTCCACGCACTGTTCCAAGGTCCAACACCCCAAGCTTGCCTCCACTTCAGCTTGTTTTCATACTATTAAACTTGGGAGCATCATTCTTGGTCATCTAAGAAGCTGTACAAAGAACTTATTAGGGGAAATGGCTGTGCAAGTAAGAGGCACATTCTCATGGTTGCCATGTGGGGTCTTCATGGTGACACCTTTCCTAGAGGAAGCTTTCTGGAGGCCAGATCATGACTGCCTCCTCTGTGATTTCCTCCATACTCCCAGGTGGAGTGTGTCTAAGGGCTTTGTGTCTGGCCTTTGCAGCCAGCCAGGCAGACTTTCATCTGGTTTTGTCACTGACACCTTTCCAAGACTCGGTTTATTAATCTATGGAATGAGGTAACAGCAGTGCCTCCCACATTGGGTTGGTGTGAGGATGAAATGAGACGTGGAGTTTCAAGGCTTTCCTTGGGCCAGGGCCCCCACATGGCAGTGGTGATGGGCAATAAATGGCAGTGGTCGTGATTGGAGTACTCCCTAGATAATCCCTAATAAGATTTTCCTGAAACTATCTACCAAGTGTTTTTTTTTTTTATTTATTTATGATAGTCACACACACAGAGAGAGAGAGAGAGAGAGAGAGAGAGAGAGAGAGAGAGGCAGAGACACAGGCAGAGGGATAAGCAGGCTCCATGCACCGGGAGCCCGACGTGGGATTCGATCCCAGGTCTCCAGGATCACGCCCTGGGCCAAAGGCAGGCGCCAAAACCACTGCGCCACCCAGGGATCCCCCCAAGTGTTTTTAATATATGTGTATAACGATGTTCATTTCCTTGATATTTATAAAAAGGAAAAATCAACAAAAAGCATAAATGTCCAACATCAAGAGAATTGTTGAATAAATTGTGGTGCATTTAGAAGTCATTAAAATAATGATCTATTTTTTTATATAGTCTATAATGGTAGAATTTATTTATTTTTTAGAAGGAGGCTTACAGGGAGAGAGATAGAATCTTAAGCAGGATCCACATCCAGCACCAGCCACAGGATCCTATGATCTTTAGATCATGACCTCAGCAGAAACTGAGTATGAGGCTTAGCCAACTGAGCCACCCAGGGTTCTCTATAATGGAGTTTAATGCAATTTTTTGGTGAACAAATGGAATGAAATTATTGTTACTGATGTTTATATCCAAATAGTGGAATAAAAATATTTACTTTTAGGTTTTTTTCCTCTGAATTTTCTACAATGAACTTGTATATAACCACTAAGAAAACAAGAGAATTTTTTAATTCCCTAGGCAGGAGAGGTTATCACTGTCAACAGCTGTCCTAACATCAACAGGATAAGGACTATTAAATAGTACCCATTATATTTAGTAAAAAGAAAGCATTTGTTGGCCACCGGGAGAGCAGTTTTGGCAGAGGTAGAGCCCCTTGTCAGCAAAACAGGAGTTCAAAAATTTAATGGTTCAAAATTTAATTAAAAAAAAAAATCACTTCCCAGGAATCTTGTTTGCACCAAGCAGGGGCAAGGAGAGCAAATATATGTGTAAATATATTTGTGCGTTGAGAAGAATGCTCAAAAATTCGATCACAGGCCCTCTCACGCAGCAGTTACCAAAACAGTGAGCATGCGCAAAAGTACAGAGAGGCGAGAGCAAACAAGCTGGCTGTGAGAAGTGGGGAAAAAAGCAAGGCTTTTTCTGCACTTAAAAAATAGACAAAGAATCATGCAAAGTGGTAAAACAAAACAAAACAAAATTCAAAGCAATTTTTGTTGCATTTCTTGAAACAAGGGGCCTTGCAAACCGAGCCACAGTTCCCATGGACCCCGGCGGCGGCGGGTAGCAAATTCCTCTCGCTGCGAATAGAAAGGCAAAACCTACGCGTTGACCTGGAGCGCGAGACGCCTCGCGCTACCCGCTTTAACCAATTAGAGAGCGGAGTGGGTCGGGCCTCACCTGTGATTGCAGCAGCGGGTGGGGCGGGACTGGGGCCCCGCGCCTGCGCTTCCCCAGCGCTGGGCCCGCGCCTCCTCTGGCCAGTTTGCTGACTGCTGGAAGTCGGTGCTGCGTGCCTGTGTCCCGTCTGCAGAAACTCTTCCCTCTTGTCTGCTCAGCTCGGCTCCGTGATGCCGGTGGACCTCGGCAAGTGGTCCGGGCCTTTGAGCCTGCAGGAAGTGGAGGAGCGGCCTCAGCATGCGCTGCATGTCAAATACACCGGGACGGAGGTCGACGAGCTGGGCAAAGTGCTGACGCCCACCCAGGTGCCCAAGGGCGCAGGGGGTGCAGCTGCTCGAGGCGTGGAGCCGGCGGGGCGGGGGGCCGGCGGAGATGGGGAGGAGGGTCCGGCCTGCGCGCGCCGGCTCCTGCGAGGGAAGGGTGTCGCGGTGCCCACACCGCAGGCCTAAGGACACCTGCGGGCACCTGCGGGCACCTGCGGGCACCCGCATGTGGCGGGCGGGCTCGGCCTGTAGGAGACAGTGGTCTACTTCCCGGGCACTTCAAGGCGTAGGCTGGGGCGTAGGCCCAGAAACAGCTCGGGGCCGCGGGCAGGGGGCCTGGCGCGGGGGCGAGGAGGCGGCGGTGCCCGAGAAGTGCTGGGTCGTGGCCACCCCTTGGGCTCCAGACCTCCCCTCAGGTCTCAGGATTTTAGGCCTCAGTTTGGGGAGCAGAAGCCCCATCCGAAGGCATGTGACGCATTATGTAACCGGTGACCAGGATCGCTCAGCGATTCTTCCTTTTGTCTTAGCGGGCTAGGGCACGTAGCCACCCAAAACTAAGCAAGCCTTCTGCAGATGGAAGACTCTAGGGCAACGGCCTTGTTCTGCCGTTTGGCGCGCGACCAGGTCAGGTTCTGGCGACCGCAAGTAGGAAAACTAAAGCGTCCAGTACTTGCCAGTTGTTGGTCGTGAAACTCCAGGGCAATGATGTGAATCAACTGCGCTGACAGTTTATTGCTTTGGATGTTTAAATATAAAGTGCCCCTCTCGCAGCCTGCCGTTTTCCCGGACGCACTGTCCAGTCTGTCCACCTCGACTTTATTTTCTGTGCACTTTTAAGTGTCCAGTTAATTCAGATTTCACTTTAGCAGGCCCTAGCTCAGCTGCTGGTAACCAGATCTAGAAACTCGGTCATTCCATACCATGAGGTTGTAGTTTGGAAGACTCCATCACCACCAGGGTTGAGATCCTTTCTGTTAATAACATGCCAGCCCTATAGTGTTGTTGGGACTAAAATAAATTAATGTATATTGAACTTAAGCTCCTGGCTTTTAGCAGAGTCAATACTTTAGCGTTTATTAATAATCTACTGTGTTTTACCTCTGAAGAACCTGAAATCAAATAGCATTGGCTTCTTCAGCATTTTTCTTTTTAACTCCAAAGTGGTTCCTTCCTACAGGTTAAGAACCGGCCCACCAGTATTGCATGGGATGGTCTTGATCCAGGTAAACTCTACACCTTGGTCCTGACAGATCCAGACGCTCCCAGCAGGAAGGACCCCAAATACAGGCAAGTTGAGGAAAGATTGGGAAGTACCAGGTCATCCAAGTATGATCTGGTGCTTCCTGGTAGTGTGTAAACCCCTTGCTGGACATGCTGTGCCAGCAGAAGTAGACCCCATTTGGGATGGTCGCACCCACGCTTAAGCCATTTCCTCCTCCTTCAGTCCCTGGAGCAGGAGTCTGGAAACTATAGTGGAGAGCTACATCGGCCCAACACCTGTTTTTGTATATAGCCTCATGGGCTAAGAATGGTTTTTACATTTTTAAGTGATTGAAATTGAAAGAATAATACTTTGTTAACATGTGAAAATTACATGAAATTCAAATTTCAGTGTGCATGGCAAAGACTAAAACGTTTACTGTCTGGCCCTGTGGAAAAAAATTTGCTTGATACTGCTTAGAGCATCTTGGAGGGAGAGATGGAGGGAGGGAGGTACGGGGCCCTCTCTTCTACAGACCAAGTGAGGTTTGTGCCCACGAGAGCAGGACTCTCAGTCTCGTTCATCACTGCAGCCTAGTCCAGAGCATGTGTTTCATTGCATGTTTGCTGGCTGTGCAGTGAGTGTGTACTTACTTCCTGTGGTGCTGACTGTCTTGTGTTCTTCGTCCTAGGGAATGGCACCATTTTCTGGTGGTCAACATGAAGGGCAACGACATTAGCAGTGGCACAGTCCTTTCCGATTATGTCGGCTCTGGGCCTCCCAAGGGCACAGGTCAGTAAAGGTTGCTTTGTGGGGGAGGTGGGAGTGGCAGTGTGTACACATTAGGATTGGCCCAAAGGGCTGCAAAGTTTAGTCTGGTTCTCCCGATCCCTTAGCCTAGTGGAGCTTTCAGACAGTGTAGTTCACCTTCCGGGCAGTGGCCTGCCAGAGACATTGACACCTACAGTAGCATCGGGTGGCTAGAATCTTGGGTTGTGGTCAGGTGGATTGTCCATTAGTACTGCCTCTCAGCCACTAGGCCTCTATATGCAGGAAAGTCTGAGAGAGGATTCTAAGGAAGCAGTGTTGCAGAAAGCTTGGAACAACTTTCAGAGAGGTGGGGGCTGGGGGTGGGGAGTAGGATGTGCTGCTGCACATGGATTGAATGCAGTTAACCCATCTAAGTTCTGTATTCAGCCTTTGACCTGTGGGATCTTTGAGTTTCCACTTCCCACAAAAGATCTCAGAAATGATCATAGTTTCCTGATTATAAGATATTGGCTTCTTTATCTCTTTGTAGTTCCTTTGTGTCAAAAATCTAGGGTGGTATCATCTTGAAAAGATTTGGAAGGCTTTAAGAAGTATACTAAAGATACACACATGGTATTGTGTTGTGTTATATATCATAATTCTATATACAAAGAGAATATTGCATTGAAACTCTCCAAGTCGGATAAGCTAATGATAGTGGAAGATGCGCTGTTAATGCTTTACTGTGCATTACAGGATGCTTTCATTTGCTGGAACAAGGAAGTAGTGGCAATGGGGAGACATGTTGTCTAGTCTGAGGAGGTATAAGAAGGTCCCTGACAGGAACAGTTGGCCCTAGACTCTTTATTTGTAGACCTCAAAGCTTCTGATGGCTTCAGGCCCTCTCTTGTGTTCCTAAGAGGACGGTAAAGGTACAACTTTCCCAGGAATCTATTAAGTTCTCAAGGGCAGTTATACAATTAGGCAGTTTAATTATGGGAAGTGCACACATGAGAATAAAGCAATTCTCTCTAGTAGGAGCTTTGTTCTCATTAACAGCCTTGACAACTTTTTTCCCTTCCCTCTTGCTTTTTAAAAAATATCCCATAATTTACAAAGAATAAAATGCCCAAAGCATAGTTTTAGTCTGTGAATATTGACTGATAGATGGTGACCCACGTAAGCATCTTTGAAAACAAGATGTTTCTCAGCATCTTTCCTACTTAGTTGGTTAAAGTGAGTCTTACCAGGCACTAGGGTAGGTTCTGGGGTGAGAACGGTCAACAAGACAAACACCATTGCTTTATGCTAGAGTTCTCTTTCTAGTGAGAAAAAGTCAGACTTTTAGAGAAGTGTTACCATCACAGAAGTGAAAGGGGTGTTCACATGGGGGTAGTGGCTAGCAATTGGGTCCCAGTGGAGATGGGCTGGGAGCCTAGAGCAGGGTGAGTAAGCGTTGAAGGCTAGGCTAGGTAGGAGAGGTGGGCAGCAGCCTCAGAGGTTGTAAGGCTGGGTGTGGACCTGACACCCATTGCAGTGGGAAGCTATTGGGTGATTGTCAGCAGCTGAATGATCTGATTCCTACCTCTGCGGGTACTTAGTGTTCCTCTTGTAGATGGAGTGGCTGGGGCCCTCCACATTGGCATGTTCTGTGAAAATGGGGGACGTCTCCATCCCTGATGTGTTACCATGCATACATCTTCCTGCCTCCCCCTCCAGGCCTTCATCGATACATCTGGCTGGTATACGAGCAGAGTGGGCCACTGAAGTGTGATGAGCCCATTCTCAGCAACCGATCTGGAGACCACCGTGGCAAATTCAAAGTGGCATCTTTTCGCAAAAAGTACGAGCTTGGGCCCCCAGTGGCTGGCACGTGTTACCAGGCGGAATGGGATGACTATGTGCCCAAACTCTGTGAGCAGCTGTCTGGGAAGTAGGGCAGTGCTGGGAGACAGTAGCTGTCCCAGAAGTCTCAAACAGTGTTCTCAAGTTCAGTGATGCATGTAGATTTCTCCACTTTCCCCATCCCCGTTCTCACAGGTGAGGCCTGAGCAATCAGATAGTGGTTTAGAGTGACTTTTCCTCCTGCCTATCCTTTATAATTCTAGAGAGTCACACCTCGGGTTTATGTTTTGATCAAAACTGAACTCCATTTTGGGGGATATTTTGGTACTATGTTGGGGTTATCAAATTGTTAATATAAGAAGAGCAACCCAGAATTTAAAGAAAGGAAAATTGAGATGAAAGACCAGGTCTGTAGTTAATAGGGCCAAGCATCAAAGAATCTTTAAGGGAGGTTTAAAAAAAAAAGATTCATTGCCTCTGCCTTTGTCAGCCTGAGTCCGGAATTGTGCCCGATGGCACTTCTGGGTCATGTTTTCATGGCCGTGTCTCTCACCGTGACAGCCAGAGGCTGGTGTGTCCACTAACCCCCAGCATGGTACATCTCAGACTGTTTACTCTAGGGGTCAGTGTCATGCTCTGGTTTCTCTCAAGGGTAGTACTGGAAAAAAGCAATAGGGAGAGTTGCTTTGCAGTTGAGGCACAGCCATCTGGATGAGCTGCAGGGCTGGTTGAGGGGGTTGTCAAAATCCTTTAGCCTCTGCCTGTTGAACCAGTCACTCTTCATCTGTAGAAAAGCTGATCTGGAGTTGCGGAATGTTGTGTTAATTCTGCTGTTTGCTTATAGTGAATAAAAATAAAAACATTGTGTGGATAAACCCAGTCTCCAGGTATTTTGCCCTTTTTGGCTATGGGGGCCTCATAAATGTGGGAAGTCAAGAGACAACCTCTAATGTGAGTGGTCCCTTTCGACCATTAGTGATGACTGGGACTTCACTCAGGGACCAAAACAGAGGATCCATGTTTGTACACATGCCATCAAACTACAGCAGGAGCAACCATTCTAGCTTGAGTGTTTAAAAAAAAAAAAAAATCACAAAGCTTTAGGCTAACTCCTCTTGCTCAAAAAGTACCTTTGCTTTTCTCAAGTGGTCCTTTCCACCAGAGAGTGAAACCAGTGGGAAGCCTTTCCCCTTGGTGGTGTTGCTCACAGAAATAGTGACTTAGAAATAGGCCACACCTCTCACTGTTCTGACTTGTTATCCATATAGAATCTACACCCAAAAGGTGAAAGGGTGGGTGGGGGGAGATTACAGCTGATCCTTAAACAGCATGGGGATTATGGGCACCCACTGCCTGTGCAGTTGAAAATCTGTGTAACTTTTCATTCCCCTCAAACTTAACTGCTAATAGTCTCTTGTTGACCGGAAGCCTTACTGATAACATAAATAGTTGATTAACACATTTTGCATATTATGTGTATCATATACTGTATTCTTACAATGAAGTAATCTAGAGGAAAGAAAATGTCACTAAGAAAATTATAAGGAAAAGAGAAAACACATTTACAGTCTTATACTGAAAAAACTCCACATAAAAGTGGACCCTCGCAGTGGAAACCCCTGTTGTTCAAGGGTCCACTGTACTTTCATACCTTTTGATGTACCAAAAAGAAAGGAAAGGATTTGAAACTATTTGAAAGTTCATATCACTGACCTGGTTTGTGTCAGAGAAAGGATCATGGATGGGCCTGTGCTAATTAAGCGCGGCTGGGTTTTTCTCCCAAACTTTTGCTGCAGTTCCTTTTCCAAAATGTTGCTTTGTGTAATCTTTATAGGGGGAAGATAGAGAATAATTATTTTCTAACTTTAGGGTTTTAAAATTCAATTTTTAAATAATTTGCAAGACAAAAATTATGTAAAGAAAACAACTACCCCACTGACTTTATATTTTAAGTGGGCTCCACACCCAACGTGGGGCTTGAACTCACAATCCTGAGATCAAGTCGTATGTTCTACCTACTGAGCCAGCCAGGTGCCCCTTGCCCTGTTGACTTTATTTATTTTTTTAAATATTTAAATTCGGAATCCCTGGGTGGCCTAGCGGTTTAGTGCCTGCCTTCGGCCCAGGGTGTGATCCTGGAGACCCGAGATCGAGTCCTGCGTCGGGTTCCTGGCATGGAGCCTGCTTCTTCCTCTGCCTGTGTCTCTGCCTCTCTCTCTCTGTGTCTCTCATGAATAAATAAATAAATAAATCTTTAAAAAAATAAATATTTAAATTCAATTTACTAACATATAACACCCAGTGTCAGTCACAGAGACTGAAAAATCAATTAGGAATTATGGTGGTATGTTAGTTTTCTTATCTAAAATAGGTATAGACTCAAAAATGATTCAGAAAAAGGCAAACAACCCAACCAAAAAAGGTGAAGTGTATGCAGAAGACGTTCACATGAAAAGAATACATAGGAAAAGATATATTAGGAGGCATAGAAGCAAGGGGATAGCCTGTCTCCCCTTTTAAACTTGGAAGGTGAAGTGAACTTGCCCAAGGGTACCTAGTTGGGAAGTGGGTGATCTGGATTCTGAACCTAGCTCTGGTCTCAGAGCCCAGCTCATAACCACAAACCCACAAGTTCCCTTTGAGGCTCAGCCTCCTGTGGAAAAGGAGTGGTGGCAGGGCAGGCAAAGGCAGGGGATCATCAGTCTCCATATTTACCTCCAGGGTTGTTGGAGAACAAAATGGTCTTTTGTTGAGATGAAGTGAATATGTGGAAATGATGAGGTTGACCTGATTCAGCCGTAGGAACAAAGTTCACAAATGACCAGCTTTCTTCAAGGCGCTTTCCTGTTTAGAATGTTTGCCAAAAATGTGTCTCTATATAGAAGGGTTTAGAATGAAGAGATACGGGAGTCTTTACTCTGCATTACAGTACAGCTGGAGCAGCCCTGCCAGAGGCCAGTATTCTAACAACCCTGGAATCTCGGGAACTGGTGCTCATTCTGATTTCATGGCCAAATGTGTCAGATGTGGTCATTATTCTGGAAACCCTAAATTAAACCTGATCAACAGATGAGATCAGATCTTGGGAACACAAGGTTGGTATCTATCTAATACTTAGGCATGGCAGCCCATGGCCTATATCCTCTCCTGGGTCAGGGAGCAAAGGACTTCTATTCTTAAGTTGGTGCTCTATCAAAGAGCCTCAGCATCCACTTAAAACCTGGCAGCTGTCTGAGTTGATCTGTGATGTAGACCAGATCCTTAAATGGCCTATGAGAGTCTATATGATGTGACTCCCCCTCCCCCCCCATTTGCCTCTAGCTTCCTGTGGTTGTCTTCTCACTAAGCTCCAAACTTGCCAGCTGCCTCTCAGTTCCTTGGCAAGCCATACTGGTCCCTTACAAACATTGCCTGGAATCTTCCTCTTCCACTTTCTTTGACATTATCCCATTTATCCTTTAAGTATCCCTTAACTGACCTTCAGGAAATCCTGACTAGGCTGGATTCTCCTGTAACACTGCATTGTAACATTTTACCGTTGTAATTTTAAAATAGTAAACGTGTCATTTTTTAATGTTCATCTCCTCCATTAGCCTGGAGCCTTCTTGAAGGCAAGGATAACTAATGTCCTGCTTAGTATTTCCAGCATTGGACATAAGAAATCTAATGACCATCAGTTGAATGAATCATTGTAAAGAGGTTCTTCAGTTAGGGAGTATGGACTTCTTTATATTCATATGCCATATTCTAAAGGTTCATTCTCCTCTTCCCAAATACTTCTACAAAAATTCACATACAACAGTTTTACAGAGCTCTCTAAAGCCCATTTATCAACTCTCTAATTCTGATGACCATAAATATCAGAAAGCTGATCTTAGTCTGGTGTCGCCTCTACTCAGGAATCTGTATCTTTTATTTATTTATTTTTTTTAAGATTGTATTTATTTTAGAGCAGGGTGGTGGTGGGATGGCAGAGAGGGAAAGAGCAAGAGTCTCAAGCAGACCCCATGCTGAGCACAGAGCCTCATGCGAGGCTCAATCTCATGGCCTGATCGTGACTTGAGCTGAAACCAAGAGTTGGCTGCTTAACTGAGCATCCAGACGCCCCTATAATTGATTTTTTTTTCAACATTTAAAATTATATCTTCTTGGTACTCCTTTGCTCATTATGGATGTCTATCTTTGATAATCCTCTTAGTCTTGAAGTCTATTTTAGTTGATAGTCGCCTTATGCCTATTTGCATGGTACTCCCCTCCCCATTCATTTACTTTCAATTTGTGTCTTTATATTTAGTTTGTCTCTTATAATCAGCAAACAGTCTTTTTTTTAAATTCACTCTGTCAGTTTTAGCTGGACTGTTTGGAAACCATATTTAATATAAGTTATTTAAATTTAAGTCTACCATCTTATGTGTTCTTTTTGCTCCTCTTTTTATGGCTGTTTTCCCTTGTCCTACCTTCTTTTGGATTATTGAATATTTTAATTTATCTATTGGCCTTTTGGCTATTATACCTCTTTGGGTTTTCTTTTTGTTTTTGTAGTTAACTCTGGGAGTTACAATATACATAACTAATTTTTCATAGTCTGCTGAGAATTAGAATGGTAAATTCTTCATGTAAAATGTAGAAGCATGGAAACCATATGCATCCTTTAACCCCCAGCCATTGTTATAGTTATTATGGATTGCATTTAGATACATCAAAACCCTCCCCAGACAATAATTTTTGCTTTCAATGAAAAGACTATATATTTTTACATATTTTAGGGATTATAGGAGGGGAAAAACTTTTATATTTATCTAGGTATTTACCGTTTGTTGTTCTTTCATTCCCAGAGATCCAGGTTTCGTTCTGGTATCATTTCCCTTCAGTATGAAGAACTCCCTTTGGCATTTCTTGTAGAATACTTCTGCTGACAGTAACTTCTTTTAATTTTTCTTCATCTGAGGATGATTTTTTTTACCTCATTCCTCTGTGTAGGTGGCTTTTCCATAATTCACCTGCTTTTATTTTTTTCAGTGTCCTCAGATAGTTGCTTTTGCATTTGGTCTAGTTTTTAGTTGTAATCAGAGGGAAAAACATACTGCTATGCCAAACTAGAATAAAAATATAGCTTTTATACCATTTCTATGGCAAAGTAGATTACTAAATTAAAATCAGAGGGGTATATGGAGTTCATACATGGGCATGTTTCCAGATGCCCCAAAATATGCTTTTTCAACAGATACATAATAATTTCAGATGGTGGTAAATTCAAGAAATAATTTTTTTTTTTACTCAATTAGATATCACTGGTAAGTGTTCACTGATATTTCCTATGATTGTAATTGTTTCAGTTCCTTTGAACTCCTGGTAGTACCCAACTTGCATTGTCATGGCTTGTCCACTGTTGATTAACTTAGTGCCTTATTTCTGTGGAGATTTAAACCATGAGCTCCAGCAGAGTAGTGACCCCCATCCACCCTATTTACGGCTGTATCTCCCCCCTGCCCCGGCACACAATAGATGCTCAATAAACATTTTTTTGAATGAATGAGCTGATCTTGGCACTTTGGGTATCTCCTCTGCCTTTTTATTTATAGCATGTATGACCACGTAAGATCATTTATTTTTTTAAATTATTGTGTCATCATTTTCCTCCTACTCCTAATGTAAGCCCCGGTAGAGCAAGGATCTTTTTTTTTTTTTTTTTTTTTATTGGAGTTCAATTTGCCAACATACAGCATAACACCCAGTGCTCATCCCACCAAGTGCCCCCACCCTCAGTGACCATCACCCAGTCACCCCAACCCCTGCCCACCTCCCCTTCCACTACCCCTTGTTTATTTCCCAGAGTTAGGTGTCTCTTATGTTTTGTCATAGGGCAAGGATCTTT